TAGAAAAAGAAGACAAAACCATCAACATCTCAAATAAGATTTTGAAATAAGACCCAACTATACGAAAGATTTAGAACGTAGCCCTGACGTTATTGGTAGTATTTATATTTATTGTAACATAGCAAAATATATTTTATTTTTAGTACTCCGACGTGATAAGATAAGAAGCAATAATTGATGAATTAAGTCTTCGCCTTTTGCACTTTTGTTTTTCTATACGACAAAATAATTATTATTACTTTCCTACACGTTATGCCTGCAGTGCCCGCAAACACTTTTTAAATAATTTGTAATAATCTTTTTTAAAAAAATCAGACTTTTTAAAATCAAACTTCTATCATTAAATTTTAATTTATCATATTAGTTTTATTTATCGCGCTTGTCTTCTCGAGTGGGATAATATAACAATATGTTTCTTTAATTTGAATCTGATAAAATTTTTCATGCAGGTGTCATAAGAGACTATTATACTTGTTATATCGCTTGCGTAAAGACTGTTATTCTTATACTATATCTTGTACTTAAGCCAAGTTAATACAAGAGTAGATATGTGATTATGATAAAACAAAAGAGAGAACTATAATTGCGGTGGTGACGCTTCGCGATCGTACACACTATCATGATTTATATAATATATGAGAAATATTGTTGAAAATCACATATTGTGAATTTGTTTCAGACTTATTATAGAAGAAAGTACTGAAGCAAAAGTCAACCTGATTATTAATTATATGCTGAGCTTAATTATTTTTTTACATAGCTATTAGTGATATCACTGCTGGGTTATATGAATATTTTATAATCTAAGAAATTATATTTCCTTAATTATATCGTGTTTCCATAGTTCGTACTTAAGAATAGATTTATTAATAACAAAAAAACCCTGAGCGAAACGTCATTTATCCTTTATTGTTTCTTCTCAATGTCGATGCACGACCTTTTAACAGGTGCACTTCTTTCTCCGTTGTACCCTTTTTTATAGACTATAATAAACATATTATTTCAATAAAATTCTATATTATCTTATGCATTTTATCCAAGGATAGATGTAAATCAGCCAAGCTTATGCATTTTATTTTGAACGCTAACATGTCTTTTGTGTGGATTCCAATAATGAGTTGAATGACTAATAACGAATTTAGTTGGACGCAATAATACACATAT